GCTTCCCAAGTATCTAGGACTACAGGCATGCACCACATGCCCAGCTAATTTTTTACTTTTTGTAGAGACAGAGTCTCACTATGTTGCTTAGGTTGGTCTCAAACTCTTTTCCTCAAGCAGTCCTCCAACCTTGGCCTCCCAAAGTGCTGGGATTACAGGTATGAGCCACTGTAATGTGTCCAGCCTAGAAAACAGATTTTCAGTGGGGATGAAACCACCTTCTATTGGAAGAAGATGCCATCTAGGATTTTCATAGCTAGACATGGTAAATCAACAGCTGGCTTCAAAGCTTCAAAGGACAGGCTGACTCTCTTATTAGGGACTAATACAGCTAGTGACTTTAAGTTGAAGCCAGTGCTCACTTACCATTCTGAAAATCCTAGGCACCTTAAGAATAAGGACTAAATCTACTCTGCATGTGCTCTGTAAACGGAACAACAAAGCCTGAATGACAGCACATCTGTTTACAGTATGATTTACTGAACATTTTAAGACTGCCTATTGCACAGAGAAAAAGATTCCTTTCAAAATATCACTGCTCATTGACAGTGCATCTGGTCGCTCAAGATTTTGGATAGAGATGTAAAAGGATATTAATGTTGTCATGCCTGCTAACACCACATCCATTCTGCAGCCCATGGATCAAGGTGTGATCTCAACTTTCAAGTCTTACTGCTTTAAAAATATAGTATGGGTATAGTTTCCACAGATAGTGATTCTTCTGATGGATCTGGGCAAAGAAAATGAAAACCTTCTGGAAAGGATTCACCATTCTAGATACCATTAAGAACATTCATGATTCATGGGAGGAGGTCAGAATACAACATTAACAGAAGTTTGGAAGGAGCCAATTCCAACCTTCACCTATGAATTTGAGGGAATTCAGTGGAGGAAGTAATTGCACATGTAGTAGAAAGAGCACGAGAACCAGAAGTGGAACCTGAGGATGTGACTGAATTGCTACAATCTCATGATCAAAATTGAATGGATGAACAGTTGCTTTTTATGGATGAGCAAAGAAAGTGGTTTCCTGAGATGGAATCTACTCCTGGTGAAGATGCTTTGAACATTGTTGAAATGACAACAAAGGGTTTGGAATATCACATAAACTTAGTTGATAAAGCAGAGGCAGAGTTTGAGAGGATTGACTCCAATTTTAAAGAAGTTTTACTGTGCAATGCTATCAAACAGCATTGCATGCTACAGAGAAATCTGTCATGACAGGAAGAGTCAATTGATGTGGCAAACTTCATTGTTTTTTTATTTTAACAAATTAATATAGCCATCCCAACCTCCAGTAACCACCTTTATCAGTCAGCGGCTATCAACATCGAGGCAAGACCCTCCACTAGCAAAAAGATTAGAACTGGCTGAACTCTGAGAGGATCATTAGCACTTTTTAGCAATAAAGTAGTTTTAATTAAGGTAGGTGCATTGTTTTTTTAGACATAATGCTATTGCACACTTAATAGACTAAGTATAAAGTAAATATAACATTTGCACTGGAAAACCAAAAATTTCATGACTTTACTGAAATATTTGATTTATTATGATGTTCTGGAAACAACCATACAATGTCTCCAAAGTATGCCTGTAGTCGGGGTGACACAGGATGCTTCTTTGATTAGTGGATTTGTGAACTTGTGTCTTGAGGAATCTTAAGGAAGTGAGGATATGATGGAAAGATAAGCTCCTCAGTAGTCAGAAGAAAGGGGTAGGTGCTGGGGGAAAGAGCAAATAGAAACAAAGAACAAAGGGCAAGAAAAAGAATTTTTAAAAGGTTGTGGAAAAGGGGAAGAAGCAATCAGATTCTGGAGCCTAGGATATAGAAGGAACCAGAAAAGGGGAAGTTCACCATCCAACTTACTGCATTTTCTGGAGAATATCCTGTTTCTTCAGCAGGTGTGTCAACATGGTCTTGGTTTGGATGCCTGTGACTCTTACCATAAGGTATAAGACCTTAGCCCGCACATCCTTATCACTGTCCATCAATCCCTCAGCCAGCGGAATAGCAAAATGATGGCTCATGAAGCCTAGCCTGTCCAGCATCTCCCAGGCTAGCTCACGGATATACGGATTGGAATGGGTTCTATCGTCCAGGAGGCGACTGGCAGTCTCAGAGTGCAACCTTGGAGGTATTTCGTAAGAGGCAAAAATTTGTGCCAGGATACTAAAATATCTCTTGTATTCCTCTACAGAGCAGTAAATTGTGAGGTTGAGGATGGTCTCTATTACATAATCTATAAGCCCTTCACTAAATTTTCTTCTCATCCTATTTTGGTCTGTCATGCTTTCAATAACATCAAAGGAAGTTCTTTTCCACGGCTTGAATTTATTCTTCCGTCTACTCACTGAGATTTTTTCTTTCACTAGAGTCAGAGAGGGTCTTAAGAGTTCAGTCATGCCCCAGTCCTTATCTCGGTAGGGTAAATACAAATCACACTTTAGGAAGATTGGGGTACCATTGGGCCAAAGGCGGGCACGGATCACTGAGTTGGGGATGTAGCCATCAGGAGCCAAGGGCCATTGTTGCCCTTTACCAAAGAAACCCTGTAATATACGGTAGGCATTTAACCCATCCCAGCCAGGCAGCCTTAACTGCGCAGGAACGATGTATGGGGGACGATCGTGCTTAGAGTCAAGAGTAGACAAATCCTCCAAAACCTTATCCTTCAAAAACTGCAATTTGGTTCTCTCTTGAGTTACAGGGAACATGTGTCTCTCTTCCTCTACAACATGGGGCACAGTATTATCAAACGCGATGACCCGTTTGTTAACAAGGGTCTCTAGCCCCGCTAATTCTTGCAGCCCTTGTCCAACGTAGACAAATTTGGGTACAAATACTATTTCAAACATAAAGAAGAAACTGGGCAGGAAGGGTTTAGGAACTTCTTGTATGTCATCTATATTGTTTAGTTCACGTAGGTGAATCAGCTCAACTGGAGGGAGCAATTCTAAGCAGGACACCATGTAGATACTCTGGTTGAAAGTCAACAGTAGGTCACCCCGATTATTGGCAAAGCAGAGTGGCCCAAAATGCAATGCTGAGTCCAACTCAGTTACAAGTCTGCCATGGAAGTTCCAGATCCGTACTGAGCCATCAACACCCCCTGTGACAAAAAGTTTCAGGGAAAGGCAGACATCAAATGATGCAATGGCACACTCATGCAGGCGTTTTGTCTCTCTAGATAAAGAGCTTCGTTTTGATTCTGAAGATGTCAGAAAATCTTTATAGTGCCAGAGACGCCAGCAGTCGTTCTCAGTGATGGCACTTATGGAATCTGGCAAGAGTATCACATGTTTTAGAGGGCAGCCACAGAGAATTCTGCCGAGAGGTTGTAGGACTACCTTGTTCCCTTGAAGCACAGCCTCTGTCAGGTATACAATGTTATCCATGCCATAGGAACAGAGCAAGGAGTTTTCCTGGGGACCTTCCAGGGTAGACAATGCCAGTACTGCCCCAGAGTGAACAGTCTTCTCTATTCGGGCACAACTATAGTGGGAGAGGATTCTCACAATGCCACTATCATGCCCACAGAACATCAATCCTTCTAGGCCTATACGCAAATGGGAATTTGCATACGCCAGGCATCTTACTGTATCTGTAGGGTTTGCTGAAGTGCACACAAGATACTTGGCTGTGCAAGGAGAACGTGTTGCATCAAACACCAGCACCTCCGAACTGCCTGTTGCCACAAAGAGCTCTTCTCTGACTGAATCATAGGCCCAAGCCACAGCCTTATCCGTGATAATTAGAGGCCAGGTGATAACCAGGAGGTCCCCAGTCACTGGAGACAGGAAGCGCAATAAACCATCCTCAGTGGCACACAGGATTCGAGTCCAATTATGGCCACAGTAGACCCGTTGGACCTGCTGGGGAGTAGAACCACAGACATGGAAGAGGCTATAAAAGTAGGGCAGGTGGTGCAGTGAGAAGGTAAAGGCAGTCTGGCAGAAAAAAGTGGTGCTATCTATAAACTGCAGTTTCTGCAGATCCTCATCAATATACAGTTGTCGCAGCAAGTTCCCAGAAGTGAGATTCCACTCCTTCACTAGACCCTCACTGCCTGCTGTTAATAAGGTGTGGATATCTGGCCGGCTGTGGATGCATATCACAGATGAGGAATGAGCCTGGAAGCTGTGCAGGAAGTTACCTTGATCTAAACCCCAAGCATGGATCTCGCCAGCCCTGTTGCCAGCATAGAAGCTGCCCTGATACACACAAGTAAAGGAGCAAGTGATGTAAGAGCCACTGGCTATGGGAGTGAACTTCTTTACTTCTTTCAGCTGGCCTTGACCCTGGTGGGTGAAGACCCTTACCGTACTCTCACACAGAACCAGCAGGGAGTCCTGTGGGCCATTCAGGGAAAAGCCCTGTACAAGCTCATGACCAGCCATAGGCACTGTTTGAGCCACCTGGAGGCCCCTGCCATTTGGTAAGATAAACCAGGTAACAACAGCCCCCAAGGTACCAGATAGCAGCATGTCTGCTTTTGAGTCATAGCAGAGGCAGCTGATGGAGAAACGACAGGGCACTATACCCAGAGATGTGAATGCTTGATGGTGATCTCCAAAGAGCCGCAGACGCATGTCACCACAGTAAGCAATTAACATGCGGTAGGACCCTGTGTGGACCATAGCTTCAATGGGTGGCACTTGATTTAACAGGTGAAACTTCATCTTCTCCATCATTACTTTCATCTTTTTATCTTTTTTCTGTATCCAAAGTACTCCCTAGAAGAAGATGAGATGAAACCCTGATCATAGAGGTAGAGCATCTTTCAAAAGTATGGGGGTGGTAGGGTAAGGCTGAATATTTAAATCCCTGTTCCCTCTTATGGGACTAAGGAAAGACTGGGCAGCTTGATTTTAGGAGTTTCCTAATACAGCAATCCCCCTTTATCACATGGTTTTGCTTTCTGTGGTTTCAGTTACCCACATGGTCAACCGCAGTACAAAAATATTAAATGGAAAATTCCAGAAATAAACAATTCGTAAGTTTTAAATTGCATGCCATTCTGAGTAGCATGATCAAATCTCACACAGTCCGATTCTGTCCTGCCCAGGACTTGAATCATCCCTTTGTCCATCTGTTAGTCACTTAAGCCATCTCAGTTATCAGTTTATCACAGTATCTGTGCTTATGTTCCAGTGACCCTTATTTTACTCAGTGGCCCCAAAGCACAAGACTAGTGATGCTGGCAATTTACATATGCCAAAAAGAAGCCATAAAGTGCTTCCTTTAAGTGAAAAGTGGAAAACTCTCAACTTAGGTAAAGAAAAAACTGTATTCTGAGGTTTAGATCTATAGTAAGAACAGTTTTTCTGTCCATGAAATTGTGAAGAAGGAAAAAGACATTTGTACTAGTTTTGCTATCATACCTCAAACTGCAAAAGTTATGGCCACAGTGCATGATAAGTGCTTAGTGGAGATGGAAAAAACATTAAATTTGTGGGTGGGAAGACATGAACAGAAACACTTTCTGACTGATGACAATCAAGTTTGGTACTATCTGCAGTTTCAGGCATCCACTGTGTGTCTTGAAACATATCCCCCATGGCTATGGGAGACTAGGAGTTGGGCCCTTTTCTTGGCCTTCAGCTTACTTTGTGGGGAAAATGAATTCTGTGGGTCTGATAACTAGAGGTGAAAAAGGATCACTGCATTCAGGCCAAATTAGGATTTGGAGATGGACTAAAATGATCTAATACAGAGTCATCCCTATCATTGTAAAATGCGGACATTTAGGTATGATGCATTGAAATTGGATTAAGAAAGGGGGAGGGAATGAAGTATCTTTACCTGTATTTGTGTTTCATATGGTTCCACCCAGTTTAAGGAGATGAAATAGTTGACACTGATGGAGTAAAAGCAAATAAAAGGCTTGTTCTGGGGATGGTGAGAGTCCTCATATAGATTCTCAGGCCAGTCACTCAGTACAACCACATGATTCTTTGGTTCTGCATCAGTCTGAGAAAGAAGAGGGACCCGAGCTAAGACACCTGAGTCCCATTCATACATTCATTTAGTAAACATTTATGGAGAGATGAGTGGACATTTTTTTAGCTAATTAATATTCATTCACCCTACTACTGGAAAGTATTATTTGGGGAGTCATCCCTCTCCACCCTCAGTTTGCAACAGAATATATCCTCATTCACCGAAATATGTTTTAGGCTTTCTCAACCAAGTTTCCATAAGAAAAGTTAGCCCTAATGTCCTAAAATATCCATTCTACATAATGAATTAATTTCTTAGTCATCTAGAATGCTACTAGTCATGTAAAATTGAAAGAAATGAGAAAATAGCCCCTCGAATCGCTTTCTATGTTCCAGGTTCAGATGAGGAACTACAGTTGTGAAAGGCTGATAGGCTCTGTGAAAAACACTGACGCTACAATGCTGAGCAAAACAGACATGACCTTGGCCCTTAAGAAGATGTGAGTCCAGTGGAAAAAAACAGACATTAAACAAATAACTAACTGAATATACAAAACAAATAAGTACTTAGAAAGAAAGGAATACAATTCTGTATGAGTATTAACAGAGGAATGCAACCTTGGCAAATATCTATACCTGTCACAGTTGGAACAACTCTTCAAAGTTCCTGCCTACATCCAAAGGACCACTTCTGTTACACACGCAAGATATACTGCCTATGAGAAATAGATAATTCATAGACGTAATAGAATGCCTACCCGTGTGTGACAGCTAGACCCTGTGGCAGGCACTTCCATCGCTATTCTTATGTGTATCCAAGGTAAATGTGTGCTATTCACACATTTACACAGAGAGTTAGCTGTGTGTCAGCTCTAACATTCTATATTCTTCCCATGTGTGTGTTTGTGTATCTATCAAGGGAGATAAATACCTTTTGAAATGTTTCACAGTAGAACATTTACAATACACACAACATGACATAGCATATGTCTGTATTGTATGTACATGAGCTCCTCGTACTGATCAGCTAAAACTAAGACTCATGAAGGTTACTTCTGGGGTCCACCTTCTCACCAGATACTTGTGCCTGCCTCCTGAACAATACTCTATGAATCTAGCTCTCCAAGTTTATCTGCGTGAGAATTTGTACTCTGACCACCTAAGTTGGAAAGTATTATAAAACACTAAATTAAACTGAAGTATGAAAACTTGTTGACTTATAATGTCCATCATGCCTGCTTCCTGCATACAAAAAGGATTTGGGACTATTATGAAGCCAATATCTGCAATTCAGAATCTCTCTTCTTATTTCTGTATTTCTTATTTTCAGATCTCAAGAGCTGAGATCCAATACCCACTGTCACTGCTGATTCAGTGGCAGCAACAGAGTTCAGAAAAAGGCCCCTGGTGTCTGAGTTCCCAATTCCCCATCCCTCTTAATTGAATCAAAAAGCTAATTTATATATCCATTATTTCATTAATCACTATTCCCTTTCTCCTTTCCAGTCATCATATACAAGCAATTTATTCACTCATTCAACAATATCAATGGTCTTCTAAAGAAGACTCTAAAAGCCTAAGAATGTCTTAAACTCACATAATGTATCTGTGCCTGATATTACTGCCGCCTGCTCTATATCAATCCTTCTCCTTCCTCATCCTCCTCCTCTCATCCCAATAAAACTCTGATTTTGTTTAGGGTGATCATGGACCTAGAAATTATGGTACTCCAAGGCTGGCACAGCCCTGAGGCTCTCTGACCTTCCCTGTTCTATCTACTTGCAATTTGAAGCTGACACCAGAAGTGCCACAATTATCTTGCAACCTTAAGGTAATAGGCTAACATACTAAGAATGGTGGAAAAGTAAAAGAATGTGGGTCTTTGACAACATGTGAGACCTACTTGTTTAATCCATATAAGTCCATTTTCTGTTACTTGCAGCAGAAAGTGTTCTAATGGTACCTAATGCATCTTAATCTGGCAGGGGAAATTGGTAATATGGAAGGGCCCTTCCAAAGGTGCTTACATCTTGCTCCTGCCACAGATGGCCTTGGCAGGGACACATATTCAGTCCAAGCCCACCCCATGCATAGTGCATAGCTTTCATATGCATCACCTTTTTGTCCTTCAGGATCTTTTTTATAAGGACTTTCAAGTCTTCCCACTCAGGAATAAATCTGGGCGAAGACGATTTCCTAGTGATATTCCAGCCCTTTATAGACATCTTGGATTGTAGAACCTGCGGAAGGTAAAAGTGACTTAATCACAACATCCAATGTTAGATTGGAAACTAAGAGAATTGAGAAAGAGGGAAGAGCAACAGGACAAGTTAGAGAAGGGCCAGGAGCAGAAGTACTCCTTTTTATTTTGTTTTCTTCTTTTCTCTGCCTCTGTCACCCAGGCTGGAGTGCAGTGGTGGCGCAGAATCTCTGTAGAATCACCTGTAGTCCCAGCTACTCAGGAGGCTGAGGCAGGAGAATCACTTGAGTCCAGGCGTTGGAGGTTGCAGTGAGCTATGATGACGCCACTGCACTCTAGCTTGAGCAACAGAGTGAGAACCTGTCTCAGAGAAAAACAAACAAAAGAAAAAGATAAAGGTCAAGGAAAGATTATTTTAACTTCAGATTTTTTTATTAAGTTGAACAGACATAAGATTACTCTATAAAGATGCTATAAAAATTCCTAAATGCTTACTCTGAATTTCTGTACTTATCTAGTTGAAGACCAGGGCAAAAAGCTCCTGGCTGGTGCCAGTGTGTTATGGAGGACCTCCTCTGGGATTCCTATCCCTCGCTGAACAATTCTAGGCATTTCTCTTCCACCTAGCGAGAGTCACTACCTCAAGTAGACTTCTACCATTAAGTAAAGTTTAAATTCTCCAAAATCCTCCGTATGACTGACTTTCAAGGACATGCATGGGAAGACCAAATGATTGGTCCCTGCAATGGAGGATGTTTTTAATGAGAAAATTAAAGATGTTTAAATATCAAGCAGCAGCAGCCTTACTAAGGGTCCAATTTTTAATCAGTGAAATTTTTCTTAGTGAAAGTACGGGAAAGAGAGAATGAGCTGCTACAGCAAGCTAATGTGAAGAGAAATAAGAGTTAGATCCCACAATCTCAGAGACTCCCTAAACTTTCCTCTGGTAATTTAAGACTAGAAGCTCTAACAGGGAAAATAGGGATTGCCTGACATTTCTGCCTAAATCCTGGACTAAGACTCCATTCCATCAAGTTTACAATGAGAGTCACTGTTCCACTTTCACCCCTCTTGCTCTCAGGAAGAAATGCTCCTTTATTTTTTCCTACTAAAGGATTTAGAAAAATATGAAATAATGAAATTCAAAAGGCTTTATGGCCAGGCGCAGTGGCTCATGCCTGTAATCCTAGCACTCTGGGAGGCCGAGGCGGGCGGATTGCTCGAGGTCAAGAGTTTGAAACCAGCCTGAGCAAGGGCAAGACCCCGTCTCTACTATAAATAGAAAGAAATTAATTGGCTAACTAATATATACAGAAAAAATTAGCCGAGCATGGTGGCACATGCCTGTAGTCCCAGCTACTCGGGAGGCTGAGGCAGCAGGATCGCTTGAGCCCAGGAGTTTGAGGTTGCTGTGAGCTAGGCTGCCGCCATGGCACTCACTCTAGCCTGGGCAACAAAGTGAGAGTCTGTCTCAAAAAAAAAAAAAAAAAAAAGGCTTTATAATAAAAATGCAATATAAATTCAGGGTGCTATTGCTGTGAGAGAAGTGAAGAGGCATGCTGAGATTAAGGGAGAATAAAAGAAATAAAATAGAAAATTTAGAGTCAAACAGACTTACAATTATAATCCTAGGTTCTGCAACTTCAATGTTCTCCCCCCTTTTAGACTTCTCAGACTGAACAAAGTTTTATCCCATATGTGGCATTTGTCTTAATGAGCTCAGTGGGACCAGCACCACACATTCTTCTGGCTGGGAAAACCTGCTATGATCATACAACAGCATACATTTCCCCATTCACTTCGCATTCCCTTCTGACTCACACACCTTTGTCCTCCACAGAGGGTTACATGCCCCTAATTCTAGAAGAGACTGACTCTAGTTACATTTCTCATAGAAAGAGTGTCACTGGCTCCAGCATCATAATGCATCAGACTTCCCCAACCCCCTCCCCCAACACACACCTGTGTCCAGTGACAGCACAAACATTATTAAGAACATGAAAATCCATACATGTATGTGCCGAGAGAGCTGGGAGGCAGGGGAACTCTAGCACTTTGTGATAGTGGAAAGGAAGGGGGTCACTATACTGCAGTGGGATGGTGGGGGATTTAAACTGACCTTTTATGATATAGAGTGACTGTCTAAGGCTGGCCATTTGAGATAGTACAGCCAGATAACGAGAAACACTAATATTTTCGGGGGAGGGGAGAGTTGGCCTTTTCATATAAATAAGCTTTACTGTGTGCTTGCTTGTGGCATGCACCGTTATAAGGACTATGTATGCATTGCCTCCAAACAGTGCCATAAAACAGGGTTGCTGGATAAAATAGTTAAATTTGAATTGCAGATAATCAATATTTGGTACATACTTACACTAAAAAATTATGGTTTTTAACTGAAATACAAATGTAATTGGGTATCCTGCATTTTTATTTGCTAAATAAAATGTGGCGGCCCTACTTAAAGTTACAGTCATCCCCCTATCTGCAGGTGAGGAAAACCCCAGTCACACAGCTAGAACGTGGCAGCGCCAAGAGTCAGTCTCCAGGAAGGTTCTTAGCTATTACGCCATTGTCACTGGACATGCGGGGACGTGCGTGGGAGGCTTTGGCCTTTATGACAGAGGCACTGCATCAGCAGCCTGCGTGCACAGCTGGTTATTTATAGTCCTAAGGGGTCTCGGAGCAGCCCTTTACGGAGGCAGAACCCAGTCCCCACCAAGCTTGAAAAAGCCGCAAAGCAAATCCTATTATAAAAACAAGTGACAGGAAACAGAGCACACAGTATCCAAAACGTTTCTCCGGCATCTTTCTGCACCACCTCCCACAAGTAGGTGGGGCGGAGAGGCCACTGGAAGGCACACCCCTGAGAGTACCCTGGGCCCGCCCTGCCTCCCCATCTGGCCTGGGCCTGGAGGACCTGGGTAAACAGGGGTCTCGGGAGGTTGGGGGGAAGCAGGGAAGGATGTCTAGGCCACACCGATCGTTCCCTTGCGCGCCGGCCCTGCGCTCTGCGAGAGCTTCCTTCTGCCTCGCGGGGGCTGGGAAACACCACCCTTGCACTTGGGCGCGAAAGCATGCACGCCCCGCCGACTGCGCGTGCGTGCGTGCAGGCACGAGGGCCGGGGCGAGGGCTCGGGAGGCTACCGGGGCGAGGGGCGGCGCCATCGGGGAGCGCGCGAGCTCCAGCGCGACTGCGACCCGCCTCTGCCTCTCACGTGCTCTTCAGCCTCTTTCTCTCAGGTCTAGCGGTTCTCCCCTCGCCAGTGCGGAGCAGGGGCTAGACGGACGCAAGGGGAAGGGACAGGAGAGCGGCGGGCCGCCCGGAGCTTGGACCCGGAGCCGGACGACGTTTCCGCGCTTCTGAGGCGGGGCGCCCCCAAGGCGCTGCCTTGCTCCGTCTCTCCAGGGGACTAGATTTTGCCCCACGCAACTATGCCTGGACTTGAGGAAACTGTGGCTTCAGGTACGATCGCTTCCGAAGTTCCGTGGGTTTCGCCTTTCCCTGTAGTCAAACCTGTTCCCAGCGTCCCCAGGTGGGAGTAGATAAGGGTGACAGGGGAACTAAAGTTCCCAATCTGCCCCGGGTTGGGGGTTACAGTTCCTACTGTGCTCGCGGGAAGGCTTCCCCTCAAGCCAGCCCACTTCCCTGGTGTTGCCTGCGACAAGTAGATAGAACTGGTATGTGGGGAGGTGACAGGGACTACATACATGGTGTTGGGACACCACGGTTCCCAGTATGCCCCTTCCGTAGCTCCCTGTGTTTCGTCTCCCCCTCCTCCTCAAAGTTCCTGAGGTGAAAAGGTGGAGGCGACAGGCGGATTGCACTCCCAGGAGTTCCTGTGGAGAGAGGGAGCCTTTCCAGCAAGTGCCAGCAACCCTGCCAGAAAGTGTTTGGAGAAGGGCACTGCCACACTGTTCCCGCTTTCAGGTTACAGCCCTGAACCTCAAATCGTTCTTAACACTCCCCGACAAACTCGCTGTATTTTTTGGATTTTATCCATTCACTGCAAACGCAACTTTTCAGACTGACAGCACACTCCCATTGCCTTTCTCTCAACTAATAACCCTGCTTCTTACTTCACTGAGAAAATCAAAGCTATCAGAAGAGAATCTCTACAGACTCCCATCACCAAGCCTCCCTATCTGGCATTCGTGCCCATATATGCAGCCTTTCCTCTCTTCCCACGATGACCTCACCCTGTTCTTTTGTTTGTTTGTTTGTTTGTTTGTTTGTTTTTTGAGACAGAGTCTCACTTTGTTGTCCAGGCTAGAGTGAGTGCCGTGGCGTCAGCCTAGCTCACAGCAACCTCAAACTCCTGGGCTCAAGCGATTCTGCTGCCTCAGCCTCCCGAGTAGCTGGGACTACAGGCATGTGCCACTATGCCCGGCTAATTTTTTTTTTTTATATATATATATATCAGTTGGCCAATTAATTTCTTTCTGTTTATAGTAGAGACGGGGTCTTGCTCTTGCTCAGGCTGGTTTCGAACTCCTGACCTTGAGCAATCCACCCGCCTCGGCCTCCCAGAGAGCTAGGATTACAGGCGTGAGCCACGGCGCCCGATCTGTCAAGATCTTGACTCAAGCAATTCTCCCACCTTAAAAACAAACAAAAAACCACACACACTTTTCTGTATTTCCCTTTCCCCATCAACTGCTGCCTCATTTATAGCAGAACTCCTAGAAAGTATTACTTGTATTTCCTGCCTCTAATTTTTCTCTTGTTCTCTATTGAACCTGCTCCAGTCAGACTTAGCACCCATCACTGTACCAGAACTGCTCTTGTCAAGGTCACCAATAACCCTCTTACTAAATTTAATAGTTGAATTTCAATTATTCTGCTTGACCTATTGGCAGCATTTGACACAAATGATTACTCCCTCCTCCTTTATGTACTTTCTTCACTTCGTTTCCATGACACATGCATTGCTGGTTTTCTTTCTACCTCATTAGTCACTCCTTCTTAGTCTCCTTTGCTGGTTCTTCTGCTTCTCTCAGAGTTTTTAAAGTTATGGCTCCTTAGGGTTCAATCCTTGTTCTTCTTCCTGAATACACACTCACTTCCTTGTTCATCTCACCGGTCTCATGGCTTTAAGTATCTTCTACCAGTGATCGCCACATTTGTAACTTCAGTCCAAATCTGTCACCTGAACTCCAGAGTCATATATCCAATTGCCCACTAAACATCTTCACTTAAATGTCTCAGCCTCCATCTGTCCAAAACTGAATTCATGAGCTCCTAATCTTCCTTCCAGTATCCACTCCACTGTTACTCTTCTCCCAACTCATTTGATTGCACCTCCAACCTTTCAGCTGGTCAAGCTAAAAACCTTTACTCCTCCCTTTCTCTCAAACCCACATCCAATCTGTTAGGAAATCCTGATGGCTCAACCTCCAGATAGATCCAGATCTGCCCAGGACTTCTCACACCCACTGCTTCTTTCTCCTTAGTTCAAACTCACCATCCTCTTTCCCCTGGATTATTATAGCAACCTCCTCATTTATCCCCATGCTTTCACTCCCATCCTCGACATTTGACTCCCTCACTACTGTCTGTTCTCCACATAGCAATCAGGATGTTTTTTAAAAACAGAAGTTAGATTTCTGCTCAGAACCCTCCCATAGTTTCCATCTCATGCAGGGTAAGAGCCAAGGCCTTAAAATGGCCCAAAAGTCCTGGCACAATCTGGCTGCCTGTTACTTTCCTTCTTCATTTTCTGTTACTTTTCCCTTCATTCCATTAGCTTCAGTCACGCTGACCTTGCTGTTCAAACCTGCCAGGTACCCTATTGTCATTGTTTTGCCATTGTGGATAAGCTTTTGATTTGCTTGTAACCATTAAATAGTGTTTAAAATGACCAGAGTTGGGTCATAAAATTGGATGTAGCTTTCACCTTATCCTGTAGGACTCACACTTTAGGAGATCTGAGCTACCATGTAGGAAATATGTTTACTCTAAGGCCACCATACTGTAAGGAAGCCAAGCCTTACGGAGGGACCATGTGTGCACATTCCAGTTGGCAATTCCAGCCTTCAAGTCATCCCAGCCTACACAGTAAAACGTGAGTGACTGACCCTTCCGGTGATTCCAGACCCCTAGCCATTCAGATCTCCCCAGATGGTACCCCAGCTATCATGAAGCAGAGACAAGCCATTCCTGCTGCACCTTGTCTGAATTCCTGACCAATAGAACTCATGAGTATGATAAATGGTTATTTTACTAAATTGGGGAATAATTTGTTACATAGCAATAGTAACTTAAACATATGGCTTCAGCCCAGCCTACTCTGAACATTGAGCTCACACGTTCAACTACCATCTTGATATTTCCTCTTAGATGTTTTATGGAATCCTCAAATTTAACATGTTCAAGTCCTAACATTTTATTTCCTCCCACTCTTCCAAAATTATTTTTATTACCCTAATCTCTCAGTAAGAAGTCTACCATCAACCAGTAACCTAAGCCAAAGACCCAAAATTAACCCAGATTCTTCTCTTTCCCTTATCCCCAAAGTCCTAGCCATTCTACTTAACATATTTCTCTCAAGTAATCCCCTTCTCATCCAGTAATTGCCCCCCTGGTATATACCCAAAAAACCATATAAACATCCACACAATAATTTATATAGGAATGTTCACAGTAGCATTATTCATAATTTCCCCAAAAGTAGAAACTACCCAAATGTCCATCAACTGGTATATCCATACAATGGAATATTATTTGACAATTTAAAAAAATGAATTACCAAGTCCTGCTCCATGTTGGGAAAGGCAGTCTTATGTGCAGAATCTTTTTTTTTTTTTTTTTTTGAGACAGAGTCTCACTTTGTTGCCCAGGCTAGAGTGAGTGCCGTGGCATCAGCCTAGCTCACAGCAACCTCAAACTCCTGGGCTCAAGCGATCCTTCTGTCTCAGCCTCCCAAGTAGCTGGGACTACAGGCATGCGCCACCATGCCCGGCTAATTTTTTCTATATATATTAGTTGGCCAATTAGTTTCTTTCTATTTATAGTAGAGACAGGGTCTCGCTCTTGCTCAGGCTGGTTTCGAACTCCTGACCTCGAGCAATCCGCCCGCCTCGGCCTCCCAGAGAGCTAGGATTACAGGCGTGAGCCACCGCGCCCGGCCTGCAGAATCTTTTTTATCTCCCACTCAGTCATATAAGAATGGGCCTTGGGCCTGGGACACTTGCTAGCAATAGATAAAGAGCCCACACAGCCTGTGCCAGGCTTGTCTCCTTGTGTGGAGATATCTTTCCCTGTTGTGTACTCAGTAAGTACTCCTTTGTTCTACTTAAGCATGTGCATCAGTGGCCCTGAGGCATACCTCCAGCTTTCAGTAGTTCATACTCCATAAAGGACTTTCATGCTCCTTCTGCTGTGACATGAAAGAGGGATGTATAAGCCAATTGCCCTATTTTGGCTGCTAGGCGAACCTGCGACATTAGGGACTAACACATGCTATTGGAGTTGGTCTTGCTCTGTCTCTTCTCTATACAAGTAAAAGCATTGTTCCATCCAGTGCTTGACTGTGTTGTGTTTTCCTGCACAACTCCAATACCAAGATACAGTGGGCAGAAAGGTTTGGACTTTTATTCCTGGGATCTTTTCTTTCTTTAATTAAATCTCCCAACCATTCATTTTTCCCCACCTTTCTGTTAAAATATCCAATGGTCTGTTAAAATTTCTTATTGAGTATTCAAATATCCAACAACCTGTTTCTTATGGTTCTGTCAGTTTGTATATTTTAGGATGAATTGTTAGCCACCTAATTTAAGATTGACATATCTTCTTGTTCTATTGTACTTTTTACTATATAGAATATTTTTCTTTGTCCCTTATTACATTTTTTATGTTTTATGGATATATCATGGTTTTACATATTTTGGGGGCACAAGTGATATTTTGATGTTTGTATATGATATGTAATGATCAAGTAGGGTAATTTGGATATCCATCACCTCAAGCATTTATCTTTTCCTTGTGTTGGAAACATTATAATTTTTCTCTTCTATTTGGAAATATACAACAAATTATTGTTAACTATAATTTCTGTACTGTGCTTTTATTTATTTATTTTTAATTTTTTTTAGATCTTAGAGTTCTATTTTTTTCATACCCAAGTAAGCCTGCGTATCTCTCATTGGTCCTCTATCCACTCCTGTCCCCTACCCTACTGTGCTTTTAAATACTAGAACTTATTCCTTCTACCTAACTGTAGTTTTGTACTCATTAACCATCTTTTCTTCATCCTCTCTCTTCCCTGTTCCCTTCTCAACCTTTGGTAATCATTCCATTCTCCTTATTATTTTGACTTAAATTTTATTTCATCAGTGATTAGGACTGCTACTCAAGATTTTTTTCAACCAGGATTTATGTTAATTCATATTGTACAGTATATAATTTCACTCCATTTTATTTTCAAACATTCTGTGTCTTTTTATTTTAAATGTATTCCCTCATTGACAACATATTATTGGACCTTGACTTTTTTAATCCAGCCTGAGAGTCTGTGCCTCTTAAAAGGTGAGTTTAAACCATTTACATGTGTTTTAATTACTGTTATATTGAGACTTATTCCATATTTTTCATATACTGTATGTCATTTTATCTTTTTCTCCTTAATGCTTACAATCTTTGATGATTAATTTTATGTTTATTGGCTAGGCTATAATGCCCAGATGCTTATCAAAACCAGTCAAGATGTTGCTGTGAAGGTATTTTTTAGCTATCATTATCATTTAGGTTAGTAGACTTTGAGTAAAGCAGATTACCTTCCATAATTCAGGTGGGCCTTATCTAATAAGCTGAAGGCCTTAAGATAAAAGACTGGAGGCTGGGTGGCGTGGCTCACGCCTGTAATCCTAGCACTTTGGGAAGCTGAGGTGAGATGATTGCTTGAGGCCAGGAGTTAGAGAACAGCCTAAGCAACATAGCAAGACCCTATCAAAAAAATAATAAAAATAAAAAAATTAGCTGGGCATGGTGGCACACGCCTGTAGTCCCAGCTACTCCAGAGGCTGAGGCAGAGGATCGCTTTAGCCCAGGAGATTGAGGTTCTGGTGAGCGATGGTGACAACAAAGTGGGCAACAGAGTGAGATATTGGAACCCCCCCACACACTGGCGCCCCAAAGTGCTAGGATTATAGGCATAAGCCACTGTGCCCAAGCCCAGCAACTTCTTCTACTTTAACTACTTTTCCTTTCACTCTTGTTTCCTTAATTACTGGAGGGAAGGATCATAAGTCCCTGGACAACTGGGAGAACCCAATTGATCCTGCACCTAGTTTTCCAAATCCCTCACTATCACCCTCTCTAAGTTCCATGTCCAGGTGGTGGTAAGGAAAGTGAAAGACTTAAGTTTCCTCCTTTTTTTTTTTTATTTTAACCTCAGATGGCCTCACTCCTTAGTACCATCCAGTGATGGAGTCACCAGGTAGTACTGGCTAAAATTTGTTAGAGATTTTTCCTTTACTCTGAGGGTCTCCTCAACACCTACTATCCCTGCTATTTTGGACTCAAGTCATCAGCATGCACAGTTTTTGGTTTTGGGTTTGTTTGTTTTTTTTTGAGACAGAGTCTCGCTTTGTTGCCTAGGCTAGAGTGAGTGCCGTGGTGTCAGCCTAGCTCACAGCAACCTCAAACTCCTGGGCTCAAGCAATCCTCCTGCTCAGCCTCCCGAGTAGCCGGTACTACAGGCATACGCCACCATGCCCAGCTAATTTTTTCTATATATATTAGTTGGCCAATTAATTTCTTTCTATTTATAGTAGAGACAGGGTCTCACTCTTGCTCAGGCTGGTTTCGAACTCCTGACCTCAAGCAATTCACCCGCCTCGGCCTCCCAGAGTGCTAGGATTACAGGCGTGAGCCACCGCACCCAGCCTTGTAAGCACAGTTTTGATCAGAGAAATAGAGTCATCCCTCACTGTAGGCCCCCAAATAATACGAAGGGGCAAAATGCTGGTTCTTCTGATTCTAAAACCCATTCTCTTTCTACCGTATCAATACCTCTTATATTAATGCCAAATACACATTATTTTGGGGCCAGGTGCTTTCCTTCCTATAGTTTTTGGAGGAAGATGGTGGGAGGCAAGAAAGGAACAGGATAAAAACAGACTCTCTGTCTCAGTGCCTTCACAGCACCACTGGCTTTTTTTTTTTTTTTTTTTTTTTTTTTTTTGACAGAGTCTCACTCTGTTGCCTGGGCTAGAGTGCCATGGCATCAGCCTAGCTTACAGCAACCTCAAACTCCTGGGCTCAAGCAATCCTTCTGCCTCAGCTTCCTGAGTAGCTGGGACTACAGGCATATACCACCATGCCTGGCTAATTTTTTAAAATATATTTTTAGTTGGCCAATTAATTTCTTTCTATTTTTAGTAGAGATGGGGTCTCACTGTTGCTCAGGCTGGTTTCGAACTCCTGACCTTAAGCAATCTGACTGGCTCGGCACCACTGGCTTTGGGGAAGTTTTCCCACTCTCAGGAGTATGTGAGTATCTGGTTTTCCTGGCTACCTTCCTGGAGAACCAAAGTTTGGAGAAAAGGGACACATCAAAGTGCTTGTTACAGACAAGAACCTCCTCTTTATTCCACATATGGAAGCTGGTTTCTAGAGCTGCGTAAGGAGAGGACTTTGACCTGGCCCCACCTCTGTGTGGGCCTAGAGATGAAGGTCTAGATTTTGGTGGCCAGGCATTTCTCCAGTTGAGAATAAAGAGTCTTGACCTCTAGTCAGTCCCAAATTAGGGAGCGGGAGGAATGACGTGGGGCAATTCCTTGGTGAGATGAATATCAGCTTGAGGCAGGCTTTTCCACGCAAGTTCTAAGATCCCATAACGGGCAATGCCTGTGGGAAGGATGGTGCGCACATTGTTCTTCCCAGGGAGGGGTACCACATCCTGGAACACCTGAGTGCTTCTAGGGGTATGAGAGCCACCACAAAACAGGCAGTGGAACAGTCGCTCCCCAGGAGCTAGCTCTGTGGCCTTTAGGGCCTCTTTGTAGATAATCTCTTGGGGTTGAGGTTCATCTCTCATTAGCAGCTCCTGTAGCAGCCTACGGATTTGGGGAGACTTAAGTTGGTACAGGTCCATAAGACGGTAGAACTGTTCCATCCAAGCAGCGGTGTCTTTTGCATATCGCTGCTGCAGCATCCGCAAGACATGGTACAGTGCCACAAAGGTCTCCCATAGAGGAACCTCTTCCTTTTTTTTAGAGATGGGCTGTGTCTTCTTCTCTAACTTGGGCAATTTGGGAAACCTTCCCTTATCCTTAAAATCCCAGAAGTCCTTCTGAAACATCAGTGCTAGGGTTTGTTTTTCCACAGAGGCATGGGCACCTGGAAAAATGTCTCTTGTGTCAGGATAAAGGTATTGCATTTCCATCTCTCTGAGAGCGGTGGATATCTGCTCTGCTCGCTCACTTCTGTAAGGCTCTCCTAGAAGATGCCAGTTTATAGCCTTTGGGTCTGGAATCCTTTTGGTAGCTAATGGAGACTTGGGTGTGGGGACAGCCAAAGGTTTTAGCCAACTCTCCTTTTCTTTTCCTTTTATAGGAGGAATCACTTTCAGGTATTTTGGACTCATGGCCTCCTTACTGGGTTTTGAGATCCTTGTACTTTGTGCTTCTAGGGCCTGCCTGTGACGGTACACAATGGCTTCAAGTTTGGCCATATGCAGCCAATCCAAGTCTCCCTTTGAGGTGAGGTCTTTGAGGAGCTGACACAATCTGTGGAAACTATCCCTGGAAGGCTGTTCTCCTGCTTCCATCTGTTCTAGGACATGGTGGATCCACTTTACATCTGAAAGGCTTATGTCTTGATGTTCCTCAGCCACGATTTGTTGGGAGGGAGGTAAGTGTGCCTTAGTCTTTCTCATCCGAGGTGGATGATGCTCCAGAAACCACTTCCACCGGGCATGTGGTGGTTTGTGTTGGAATTTCTGAGCTTCCATGGTCTTTCTAAATATGTGGGATATGAATGGGGTCTTTAAGTCCTGTTCCTGGGACTCCAAAGATATATCTGGAATATGTAGAGATATGGACTTATATTTCTCCAACAGTTCTCTTTTTTTATCCATAAGCCTTGTCTTTGACAATTTCCTGGCCATCTCCTGTGCTATGGCCTTCTGGTCCTCCAGGGATACTTCTTTCACTGGCACCACTGCTGACACTGGCACCACTGCTGACACTGGCACTGGTGTCTTCCTTGCCATCTCTAGAGACATTGAGATCAGTTTCTTAATAGGGCTTTTTAGAACTCCCAGTTTCATAGAACTGCCTTTGATATGAGGGATTCCTTTTCCAATGGAAGGGATTATTTGCCTTTCTCTTTGGCTCTTTATTTTTTCTTCTTGTAACTTAAATTGTTTTTCTTTTTTGAGGATCTTTTTTACCTTGCCTACCTCTTCTTCCAATGAGCTTATCTCCTCTTCCCCCTCACTCAAACTTTCCATGTCTTCCTCGCTTATGCTTCCTTCCTTCTCCTCTTTCTCCCGCACTACCTTCTTCTTCCTTTCCTTCTTTTCCTTCTTCTTTTCCTTCTTCTTTTCCTTCCTCTTTTTCTTCTCCCTCTTTTCCTTCTCCTTTTGCTTCTCTCCCTCCTCCTCTTCCCCCTCTTCCCCCTCTTCCTCCTCCTCCTCCTCCTCTTCCTCTTCCTCTTCTTCCTCTTCTTCCTCCTCCTCTTCCACCTCCTCAGACAAAATCTCTTTCTCTATTTCCTCTAATAGGCTTTCTATTTCTTCAGAAAAGAGCTCGTCTCTTTCCTGCTCACGCAATTTACTGGGAAACTTTTCCTTTGGTGTATCAACTCTCTTTTCCTCCTTTCTTTTTCTCCTTCTTCGTTTAAGAAAGGGGACTACCTTTTCTTCCTCTTCTACTTCTTCTTCATCCTGTATCATGATCTCATTTTGTTTCTTGGCCAATATGCTTTCTTCCTCAGTCATTTTTTCTTCTTTGCTTATCATTTTTCTTATTTCTTTGGCCAGTTTTCTCTGCTTCCAAGCCAGTTTCTTCTCCTGTTTGGTCATTTCTGATTGTTCCTGAGAAACATCCCACTCTCTGATATCAAGTCTACTCTGTTCCTGTTGCAATTTGTTTTCCTTAAAACAGAGTGTCCTCTTTGTCCTTGCCATCTTTATTTCTTTCTGGGTTAATTCCCTTTCATCACTGATTAGTTTTTGAAGTACCTGTAAGACTTTGTTCATGTTTTTTGGTTCCTCAGAAATGCCCTTCTTTTTTTCAGCCAACTTTCTTATTGCTATGGCTAACTTCCTTTCTTCCTGGGCATATATTCTCTGTCCTCTAGTACGTTCCAGTTTTCCTTTGGCAATGTTCCTTTCCTCTGTGGCCAACATCCTATCTTCATATACCAATATCTTCTCCTGTAGTGACAACCTTCTCATAATTAATTCTATTTCTTCCTTAGTCAGTTTTTTCTGTCTTGAAGTTTCTTTAGTCTTTCCCTTGGGAAGAATTTCCTTTCCCTCGATCAGTATCAGCTTCTCTTGGGCCAATTTCTTCAATTCCTGGTTCAATGCCTCTTCTTCCTTAGCAACATCCAACTCTCCTCGGAGAAGTTTCTTTTCATGGAAAAATGCCTTCTTTTCCATAGCTAATTTCATTCTTTCCTGGGCCAATTTCTCCTTTTGCTCAGCCAGACTTTCCTCTGCTTGGACCAATTCTTTCTCTGCATCATCCAGTTTCTGCTTCTTCTGGAGCAATATATTCTTGTCCTGTCTCAGCTTCTCCACCATCCGAGCCAGGTTCTCCATGTACCTCTCCACTTTCTCCTTTACTTTTACTAAGTGCTCTCTCTTCTGGGTGAGTACTTCTTTGCTAAAGAAGAGGTTCGCTTTCCTATGAGCCAATTTTTCCTTCTTCTTAGCCAGATTCTTCTTTTCCTGAGCCATATTATTCTCTCTCTGGGCCAATACCTTCTTGTTCCTTATGAGTTCTTCATTGTTCTGGACCCATATTTTCCTTTCCTGGGCCAGTTTTTCCTTTTTCTCATTCAATTGCTCCCTTTTCTGGGCCAGTCTTTTCTCTATCTCAGGCATTTTTTGCTTGCTCTGGGCCAGTGCCTCCTCTTCCTGGATCAGCAGCTCTTCTTCCTTGGCCAGTTTTTTCTCTTCCTCAGCATGTTTTTTCTCTTGCCAGGCCAGTGTCTTCTCTTGCTGATCCAGTTTCTCCTTTTTCTTAACCAGTGTCTCCCTTTCCTGATCCAGTTCCTCTTCTTTCAAGGCCAGTTCCTCTATGTCACTTTCCAGTTCCTCCAATTCCTGGGCCAGCTCCTTTTCTTGCCGGTCCAGATTTTGTTCCCTGTCAGCCAGCTCTTCCAGTTTCCGGATCAATATTTTTTTTATCTCTGCCAGTTTCCCACCTTTTATTGCTAATTTCTCTTCTTCTGTAGCCAGTTTCTCCAATTTCTGGGCCAGTTTCTTACTTTTCTGGGCCAATTTCTCTGCTTCCCAGCTTAGCTTTTCCGCTCTTCGGGCCAATTTTTCCTCTCTCTGGGCAAAAGTCCTCTCTACCTGGGCCGTTTTCGCGTCTCCCAGGACCATTTTCACATGTTTATGGGCCAGTTTTCTCTCTTCGCGGGCCAGTTGTCTCTCTACTTTTGCAAGTTTCTCTTCTTCTTCTGCTAGTTTCCTCTCTTCTTTGGCTAGACTTCTTTTAGCTTGGGCTTGATTCCTCTGTATTCTGGCTTGTTTCTGATCTTCCTGGATCTTTCTCTGCTCTTCTGTGACCGGCCCTTCTTTTTCTTCCCACTCCTCAGTCACTTCCTCCTCCTCAGTCACTTCCTCCTCCTCAGTCACTTCCTTCTCCTGAGTCACTTCCTTCTCCTGAGTCACTTCCTTCTCCTGAGTCACTTCCTCCTCCGGAAACACTTCTTCCTCCTCCGGAAACACTTCTTCCTCCTCCGGAAACACTTCTTCCTCCTCCGGAAACACTTCTTCCTCCTCAGGCACTTCCTCTTCCTGAGACACTTCCTCTTCCTGAGTCACTTCTTCCTCCTGAGATACTTCTTCTTCCTGAGATACTTCTCCTTTCTGAGATATTTCCTCCTCCTGAGTCACTTCTTCCTCATCCTCGTACAGATGCTCCTTGGCCCTTGATGACAGTATATCCTCCCAGGCCTGTTTCCACTCATCCCATTCCAGCTTCCATTTGTCCCTCTCCAGCATTTCTTCATCTTGGAGTAGCTTCTCTTCAGCCTGGGGTAGTTTCTCCAATTCCCGAAGATACTTACTCTCCCAAAATTGCTTCCATTCATTCCAGGATGCTCTCGTCTCACCTCGAGCCTGTTTCCATCGTTCCCAGGACTTTTTCCACTCCTGCCAAGATAGCTTCCTCACATCCATAACTGGTTTTACTTCTTGCTCAACCACTTCCTCCTTTGGTTTGCCAATTTCCTTAACTTTCTCACTCACACCCTCTTCTTCTTTGATAATTTCCTTCTTTTTTTGGTCCATTTTTCTATCCTGCTCAAGTGTTTTCCTCTCTTGCTTAGGTGACTTCTTAAAGGATTTCTTCTCTTCTTTCTTTGATATTCGTTTTCTCTTGGTTAGGTCAACTGGTTCTAAAAATACCACTTTCTTTTTCTTGCCTTTTTTAGAAATCACTTGAGTTGCCTCCAAGTCCTGCATGTCTCTTTCTTCTTTTTGCACTTCTTCTTCTTCCTCTTGTAACTCTTCCATGTCTCTGATCACCATTTCCTCTCTAATTGCTTCTTCATGGAAAAAAATTGGTTTTTCCCCTGGCCAGACTACATCCCAATCAAGGTAATCAAGCGAAGCCTGGCTTCCTTTCTTCAACAGGGGGCAGATCTCCTGAAAGAGTTCCCAGCTGGGGTGCCGATCTACTAACATCTCCTGAGCTACAGTCACTAGCTCATTGTTTAAATCTTGTGACATTTTTGTTTGGGAACCAGATATCCTCAAGGTCATAAGACGACACAGATCATCCCGCCATGAGCCATCTCCAGAGACAGTCTTGCGACCAGGTGCTCCAGCGGCACCTCGCCCTCTGATTTTAATCTTTGTAATAACTGGTTCTTCCTGCTCAGGAGGTGGAATTCCCCCAGTTATAACTTCGGATTCTTTTCTCTTCTTCTTTTGCCTCTTAGCTTTTCCTTTTTTGCCTCCTTTGTCCCGCACTGTCCTCAGCATCGTCAGGGCCAATGCAGAGGTATCCTTTGAGACATCTTTCTCTTGATCCTCAGCATCTTTTGAGACCTTTCTGATACTGCTGATTGAAGACCTGGAAGGGCTGGGTGCTTCCTCCATGTCAATTGGTAGAGCTTCACTCTCACTGCCTTCACCCTCTGGGGGACTTGCCTCTGGGACTTCTTCCTCTTTTATCTTCTTGAAAACCCGAAAAAATTTTCGTGCTGCAGGGAAAATCAGTAGATGGAGTTAAGGAAAGCATGGGAAGCTAAATGAAACCCTTCCCGATATCTGGTGTGAGCTAAGAGGAACTACCATAAAAGACATAGCAACAGAAAGAGTTGAGGCCTTAAAAAAAAAAAAAAGCATTCTCCTTGCTGTATTCCCAGCCTCCTCTCCCCAACCTGGAAAGATAGGCCTTGGGGTCTTCCTGAGTTTGGGTGGATCCTTTCTAGGAGAGTTCCTTTCTATGACAAGATCTTTCCACACATCTCTCTTCCTATCTGGTATCTCTTGACCCACTTTAACCCTAACTACCCCGCCTCTTGGGGACCCTGAGGCATGGACCAGATCACCCCTTACATACTAGGCTTTTTGCCCCCTGGTCGACCCCGTCTTTGGGCTTTGATGTGCTTGGTGGCTTCGGTTTCTTCAGAAACTTGGGGAGGATGTACGAGAAAGGATGAAAGTTCAGAAGCCTTTGAGACATCTAAAGTAAAAGCCTTTTCTTCTCCATGTGACAAGGTCAGGTCCTCATTCAGTCGCCGCTCCACTTGTGTCTGAAGGATCTGGAGATCTGCGGGCCGTATCCCCAGCAGGTGGTCCAAGGTTTCCTCCCCGATCATCTCCTGCCTGTGAAAGTGAAAGGAGAAGAAGGACTATGTTGAATCAGGAACAAACGGGAGAATAGGAAGGAAAGAACTGCTGTGGAACAGGCAGTGGGTGTGGCAAAGTAGCCAAGAAGCACAACATATGTAGAGATAAATGATAGCCAAGAAGCAGAAAAAAGTCTAGGAAGCAGGGGTAGGAGAAAGGGATGAAACGTGGAACTTGAAGAGGTAGGGGACAGACAGGAATAGGAAAAGAAATGGAGAAAGGAGTGAGCCATCAGGACTGTCAAGAGTAGTCATCTAGGAACGGACAAAGGCTGTGAAAGAGAAGGTCAGAGAGAGCTCATGAACAGGGATGGAAAAGGAAGGGAAGGGAAAAATGGGAGAGAGATACCAAGGAAAGGGAAGAGGAAAAGAAAATTAGAAGCTGGTAAAGAATTGAGGAAGGTACAAGCAACTTACTGCATGTCTCGGAAAACGTCTCGTTTCTGGATCAACTCTAAGAGTGAGGACTTAGTGTGGATTCCAGTATCAGGCATGAGATTCAGGGCCTTAATCCTCACTCTTTGGTCCTTGTCCATTAATCCATTTGCCAGAGGCATGGCAAAGAGATGAGTAATCATTCCTAGACGCTTCAGCCCTTCCCAGGCTAGTTCTCGGATCTGTGGGTTAGAATTGGTTGTCTCATCCATCAGATGACGGGCTGTCTCAGAGCGCAGGGATGGAGACACCTGGTAAGAGGCAAAGATTTGCCCTAGGGCACCAACGCAGCACTGGAACTTCAGTGGAGAGGCATGAATCATAATATTGAGGATTGCCTCAATCAGGCTATTAACAGCTACTTCACTCATCTTTCTTCCCAGCCAACTTTGGTTTGTTCCATCTGTAAGGACATTGTAGGTTACATCCTTGGATAGTCTCGTTTCTAGGAAGTCTGCATCCTCCTTCTCCTTTGAGGGTTCTCCTACGTCACCCATAGCTCTTACCCTGCTGTGCCAGAAGAAAAATTGAGACTTCCTCCATTCCAGGTCCCGCTGGGGTGGGTGCAGGCTGCACTGTAGGTATATCGGGCTGCCCTCTGGCCAAAGACGGGCACGAATCACTGAGTTGGGCATGTAGCAATCAGGGGCAAGGAGCCATTCCCGCCCTTGACCAAAGTAGCATCGCAATATCTTATAGGGGTTGAGTCCATCCCAGCTAGTTATCTCTAGTTGGGGAGGAATCACATAATGGTGTTGGGGAGTTTTGCTCATCTGCCTCCGATCAGCTTCTGTCGCCTGCAAATAATCATATGTAGGGGTACAAAGTACTATTTGATTCCCTTCCTCATCTTCTTCTATGACATGTGGCACAGAAAGGTCAAAGGCAATGGCCCGGTTATTGACAAGGCTCACCAGACCCATTAATTGCTGTTGCCTTTGCCCTGTGTAAATATAAGTGGGCACAAAGATGGTCTCAAAGGAGAAGAAGAAGCTTGGCATGAAGGGCTTAGGGGCTTCTAGTACTTCATCTGTTATACTCAAAAAGGAAAGGCGAGCCAGCAGGTTTGGAGGAAACAGTTTTAAAGAGGAAATCAGATAAAGACTCTGGTTGAAAGTCACAAGCAGATCACCCCGGTCATTTGCAAAACAGAGTGGGCCAAAGTTCAGTGATGAGTCCAGCATGGCTATGAGTCTACCATGGAAGTCCCAGACCCGGACAGTGCCATCCACAGCACCTGTGACAAAAAGATTCAAGGACAGACAGACATCAAAGGATCTGATGGCACACTGGTGCAGAGGCAGTGTTTCTATGAACATCGAGCTATTCTGTAACCCAGAGGACATAAGATCATGGAACTTCCAGAGACGCAGGCAGTTAGTCTCTGTGATGGCACTAACAGACTTGGGCAAAAGCATCAGGTGGTTTAGGTGACAGCTGCTGAGAATGCTGGCGAGGAGCTGTAGTTGTACTCTGACCCCCTGGAGCACAGCTTCTGACAGGTGTATATAATTATCCATTCCATAGGAACAGAGGTAAAAGTTTCCTTGGCCACTAAAAAGCCCTGCAGATGGCGTAGAGAGTGCCAGTACAGCCCCGTAGTGCATGAATCTCTCTATTCGGGCACAGCTGTGCTTCGAAAGCACTCTGATTGTACCACTCTGGTGCCCAGAGAACATCAGTCCTTCTAGACCCCGCCCCAGCTTGAAATGCCCATAAGCCAGGCATTGTACAAAGTCCTTAGGATTTGTTGAGGTGCGTATGAGGTACTTGGCTGGGCAAGGGCAGCGGGCTGTGTCAAATACCAGCACGTCTGCACTGCCTGTTGCTACAAAGAGCTCCTCTTTAACTGGGTCATAGGCCCAATCCACAGCCTTGTCCAGCATTGAGAAGGGCCAGGTAAGAATCAGAAGATTCCCTGTTAATGGGGACAAAAAGCGCAACAAGCCATCCTCGGTAGTGCACAGGATCCGGAACCAGTTCTCTCTACAGCGGACCCGACATACCTGCTGAGGAGCAGAACCGCAGACGTTGAAGAGGCTATAGAAGCAGGGCAGACGGCGCAGGGAGAAACTGTGGGTGGTTTGGGAGAAGAAAGTAACATCATCAATAAACTGGAGTCGACACAGCTCCTCTGCAAGTTCTAGCCGCCGCAGCAGGTTCCCGGAAGTAAGGTTCCACTCCTTGATTAAGCCTTCACTGCCAGCTGTCAGCAGCGTGTGGGCCTCTGGCCGGCTGCGGATACAGAGCACGGTTGACTGATGAGCCTTGAAGCTGTGGAGAGACTGGCCTTGACCAAGGGTCCATACTTGGATTTCCCCAGCCTGGTTTCCAGCATACAGAAAGCCCTGTTCAGAACAGGTGAAGCAGCAGGTGATGAAGGAGCCACTGCGGGTGGAAGTGAACCACTTTACCTCTTCCAGCCGGCCCCAGCCCACGCGCTCGAGGACCCTCACCCCAGTCTCACACAGGGCTAGAAGGGAGTCGCTGGGGCCATTCAGAACGATGTCCTGGATAAGCTCCTCCCCAGACATGGAAACTATGTTGGCAATTTGCAGGCCCTTGCCACTGCGCTCAATGACCCAGACGACCACTGCCCCCTGGATGCCAGACAAGAGCATTTGCATTTCCGGGTCATAGCAGAGGCAGCTGATGTTGAAGCGGCATGGCACTATACTTAGGGGTTTGAATGCCCGAAAGTGGTCCCCAAAGAGCCGCAGAACCATGTCACCACAGTAAGCCACAATGATATGAAAGGAACCTGTGTGGACCATGGACTGAATGGGTGGCAGTCGTTCAGTCATGGGGAATATTCTCTTCTCCACCATGTCGTCAGTTTTGCTCATCATCCATACGACAGCCTGGAAGAGAATAAGGTAGAAACTGCCTAGAAAAGATAGCAGAGGAGGAAAGGGCAGAATATTTAGGTGCTTTTCCCTGTTTTGTGCTAAGGAGGAATTGGAAGACTCTAGAGTGATTTTTATCCCTTGGTGATGAGAGTTGGAAATATGGTAGAGGCGGGAAGCCTGGGACCCTTTCCTCCACCTTGGCCTACTTCAGGGGAACCGTAAACTTTACTCAACATGGAGACTGTAACTGGAGAAAGGATGCAGGAGGACTAATGGATCCAGATCCCATTCATTCAAGGAGTATGTCTTCCTTTGTCTATCTGGGTTAAGAGCTATATGGGCATGGCCCTTGGAGAATGGACTAAGAAGGGGAAGAAAGACGGTTTTACCAGTATTTCTCTTGTGTGTGGTGTCGCCCAAGAGATGGAGGCAAAGAAGTAGGCGTCAATGTAGTAATGGCAGATAAATGGCATATTTTGAGGATAGCGAGACTCTTTGAACAGTATCTGGGACTGGTCACTCAGCACAACTAGATTATTCTTTGGGTCATCTACAGCTTTCTAGGGAAAAGCACAGAATAAGAGGTCACAGCACACATACATTTAATATAGCGTCACACAAGTCACAGTTGGAGCAGTTAGCAAAGTCATCCTGAGGACTGTTACACCCACACATGCACAACTTATCATCTTTAGGACATCTCTACTTCACAAGCCTGTAACCAATCACCCAGTGCAGAAGGGAACCAACCCCCTGTAGGGCCTATATGGGCAAATTTTACAGTGTGAACACAGGGGAAAATGATGTTCTTCCTAACCTGATGTTAGCCACACCTGCATCTAACAGTCTCCATTTGTCTAAAAGGTACATGTGTCATAAAAGAAACAACATTTAACAGATTACCCAGGCAAGCACATCACCTTATACCCACATGTGATATAACAGGAATGTCCCACAAGTTAGTGCAGCTCTAAGTTATTCAAGCTTGAAACTCTTCTGAGACTCTTAAGACACCCTATCTGGCCTTTAAATTTGACAGAGGACCAGCACATAGACAATATATATCATCCCACAGTGCTAAGAGTTTTGTGCTAATGAAACATGCACCTGGGATCATTTTATTCAGAGCCAACCATAGCACAACTGAGGTTGGCAAATGTTCTCTCTTACTCCTTCTTTTAGAAAATCTCTCTTCCCAGAAGGTTGGTTCCTCTGACAATGCTCGAAAGTGTTCACCTCCCACTGTCAAAGTGTCCTTGTAAGAGGTCTGTAGACTCATTTGGAAATTCATAGTCTACTTCCTCTAGGGTAACAATTGTCTTTATGTTCTATCCTACTTGCATCTGCTCTCAAAGACAATCTGTGGCATTTCTGGAGTGTAAGACAGATAGAAGCCAACCAATAACACATTATGTCCTGCATATACATTACCTTGCTATTGTGTACAATTTCATTTACGCTTTTTTTAAAATCATTCCACAGGGGAATGAGTCTGGGGGAAGACATCGCCTTGATTATCTCTTGGTCCTCCTGAGGACTGACTGGTGCTTAAAAACCTGTGGGAATCCAAAAGAGGCTGGCTTAGTCACTGCTGCTTTTCAAGGAGCTGGGAATCAGAAGTCAAGAGCTGCGAACTCACGTTTATTGAATACCTTCTAGATGTCAGTAACTGTGCACGGGACCTACCTTCTCATTTAATCCTCACTACAGCTCAGTAAGATTTGTATTACCCATTTTACAGGTGAGAAAACAGAGGCTTGGGGACGGTAAATAAAGGAGTTGGGGATTAAATCTTAGCATTTTTCTATCATAACCCAGTAGGATATTATGGGTAAGGGAAGCAGAGAAACCTAGAGAGGGCACTGAAAAGAATACCCTTACAGGCAAATAATAGTTGTTTGTTTTTGTGGTATGTCAGGAGAGCACTGTAAGAGGACTAAGGGTTCTCAAAATATGGTCCCTGGACCTCCTGCACCAGGATTCCTGGGGGTGGTGGAGGTCTTAAAATGCAGATTCCTGGGCGCCTACACTAGAACTACTGAATTAGAATCATGGAAGTGGGACCCAGGAATCTCCACTTACAGCAAACTCCCCAGGTGATTCTATCGACGTTCAGGTCCGACTACTGAATTAGGAAACAGACAAGAGGCATCCAGGACTAAGAGCCAGCCCTGCCTAGCACGGATGGAGAAAGGATCCAACCATTCGCCTCGCAGGCTTCCAGGCAGCTCTCTTACAGGAGGTACATCTGCTGTTCATTGTTCTTTCCCGTTCCCCTCTTCTTTGGCCTTCATGTGGACAAACCTGCTTTTCCTGATTGGATTGTGAATAAATCTTACTTTTAACAATCCCCCTCTGTCAGGGAGTCTGTCATTACTAGTGTGACAATGGGCTTGTTTTTCCTCATTTGTCAGATGAAAATGCCTGGCTGGGCATAGCGGCTCACGCCTGTAATCCCAGCACTTTGGGAGGCCAAGGTGGTAGGCCAAGAGTTCAAGACCAGCCTGAGCAACATTGTAAGACCCTGTCTCTATAGAAAAAGAAAAGAAAGAAAGCAAAGAACATTCCAGTCTTGCCTACTTCACTGGGTTGCTTGTCAAGACCAGATAGGATAAATTCATGTGAATACCCTTTTAAGCATACTCTGAAGCAACAAACAATTATGATTGCTGATTTTAGGCTGGCCTGGTTCTCAGGCAGGTGACAACTCCATTCCTTGCAACCCATACTTTGTGTAACTTTCCAGTTTCTGGAAACATGACAGCGAAATTTATAGTGTGGCCACCAGAGGGCGATGGAGGCCAACCTTGTCTGCCAGGTGAAGGAAAACTTCATCAAATTTAGAGAAACGGTTCCCAAACTGTGATCCCCAGGCCAGCAGCATCAGCAGCATCTGGGAACTTGTTAGAAATGTAGATTATGGGCCCCACCCCAGACCTACTGCATTGGAAACTCTGTGGTTAAGGCCCAACAATCCAAGCTGTAACAAGCTCTCCACCTGATCTTCACACTGAAGTGTGAGAAGTGGTTTAGAGAGCTGTCGGAGTCCTGGGCTTCCTGAAGCAAGACCAGCAGAACCCACCCTATAGTATGGCTAAGCCAAGCTCTGTGTTGCCATAGAGTGCGTTGGAGCCCACAACAAAACTTTCACATCAATTACTTAGTTCTTGAAAGAATCCAGAGAGGCAGATATCACCATATCCACTGTACCCCACTGGCTCCTTCTTGAGGCCCAGAGCTGCTGAAGGAGTACTTATTTGTACCAAATTTGCAGTCAGTGCCATCAATACCCACTGTTCCAAATATCTCCTCTGGGTCCCACTTCTGACAAGCCTAAAAAAGCGAGTGGTTGGGACCCTTTGGGGAAACATTTCAAGGGGGTGAGAAAGGGGGCCTTCAAACCCCAAGCCTTTATGTTTATTTATTTTTTGCCACTCTGTCCCACCCCATAAACCAGTTTCCTCAAGTTAACCCTCAGAGGAAGCCTCTTTCCTAAAATCTTCCACATTTGACTTCCTAATCCCAGTGCCAGTCCTTAAAAGCAAGTTCAGAGTGAGCTCAGATGCTTTAATCCCAACGGTCATGACTGTTTTAGTATCTTGAAAACCCAAAGATAATTTAATGGGAGAATTCAGGCCTTGTGGCAAACCTAGGGGAGAGGGTATTTGGGGCCAACATACAGTTTTTCCTGCTGACTGTGAAGACAAGCTAGGTCCATGACTGGGCACTGACAGTGGAACTGTATGCTTTTTCTTGGCAATAGTCCACTCCAAGGTATAGTGTTCATGGTAGTCTGAGGGAAGGCAAACGGCCCACCAACCCTGCCTTGTTAAAGAGAGTTGGCTCTAGGGGGCGCTGCACTCCACAACAGTCAAGACCCTGGGCTCCCTTTGGGTCACTCACTGGTCTCATGTTTTGTTATAGGCATGTGAAGGGACACAGGTAGCGTTCCTGCTCCATAGAACTTACAGTTCAGCAAGGAAGGCAGGCATCAAAAAATAGTCATAAAATTGATTACAATGGCAAATTCTGAGTGATGAATTATATTATTCTTTGAACTTTCCTGCAACTTTTAATTTTCTCAAACTTAAATTACACTAGTGATTCAGTTTTAAGAAGGAAAAGTACAAAGTACTGTGAGTACATATAACGAAGTGACCTGACACCCAGAAGAAGGGTGATGTTCTAGGCACACAGGGCCTTGGCTCGGCCATAGCAAAGGGTGATTTCTGCTGATCATGCTGTAGGAAGCCCAGGCCAAAGTGATTTGGGACTCCCAACACACTGTGGGGTAGGTCCCTGCATGGATTATATTGCCTTGCAGGTGAGTCTCACATTTGGGGAAGGGGATATAGAAAGTTTAGCTGGTTTCAGAAGGGCCTAATCAGTTGACTGTAAAGTCAGAGGGGCAACCTTGGCTTACCTGGTTCTTTGAATGACATTAATGATAAGCAGCCCATGTTTGTCCCCAGGATCTGGGAGTGTTGCTCTCTGGCCTTCAGGTGGCTGCATAGCTAGGGCTGGGGATGGAATGCACTTAACTTTCTTTACAGAAAGAAACAATTTTTCAGGCAGACAAAATACATTCACAGGGTGAGCAATTAAATAGTTTCTATTGGGTGGAAGAGTTATCCTGGATCCCCAAGAGTAATGATAGACTCCAGCATTGATTAGGTTGTAAGGTGGCAATGGCATTTTACATATATTGTTTTATGTAATCTTGCAGTGATTCCATGAATTAGCTATTATCCCTTTAATTAAACACATTTTTAAATGAACAATGTAAATATATTCAAAACAGGCTGGGCGCAGTGGCTCACGCCTGTAATCCTAGCGCTCTGGGAGGCCAAGGCAGGCGGATTGCTCGAGGTCAGGAGTTTGAAACCAGCCTGAGCAAGAGCGAGACCCCATCTCTACTATAAATAGAAAGAAATTAATTGGCCAACTGATATATATAGAAAAAATTAACCAGGCATGGTGGCGCATTCCTGTAGTCCCAGCTACTTGGGAGGCTGAGGCAGGAGAATTGCTTGAGCCCAGGAGTTTGAGGTTGCTGTGAGCTAGGCTGATGCCACGGCACTCGCTCTAGCCTGGGCAACAAAGACTCTGTCTCAAAAAAAAAGAAAAAAAAAATTCAAAACATACTAAGGGGCATATAAGGAAAAAAAAGGTCACTTTTTCACACCTGACCACCTGTCCTTCTGTTTCCCCTTCAGAGGTAATCGTGGTTGTGTTTCTTGTGTCTTTCTAACAGTGTTCTGTACATATACATAGACATATATGTAAAAAATATTTTTCTTATACAAACGATAGCATATTATATATACTATTCTGTACCTTTTTCTCTCTTAATATATCTTGCAGATTGGTTCATGTTTATACATATAGCTCTGCCTCGATTCTCAACAGTTCCCAGCTGCAAGTATTCCACTGTGTGGCTGAACTATCATTTATTTATCCAAATTTCTATTAATGGACATTGGGCAGTTTCCAACCTTTTGCTATTATTACAACCAATGCCACAAATGAATATCTTTGTGCCTTATAAATCTGTACTTAAATTTTTTTTTATTTCAGCGTTTTACTGGGGTACAAATGTTTAGGTGATGTATATTGCCTTTGCCCCACCCAAATCAGAGCTTCAAGCATGTTCATCCATCCCCCAGACGGTGTGCACCGCACCCATTAGGTGTGTATATACCTATCTCCTCTCCCACCTGCCTGACACCTGATGAGTGTTATTACTATATGTGCACTTAAGTGTTGATCAGTTAATACCAATTTGATGGTGAGTACATGTGGTACTTGTTTTTCCATTCTTGGGATACTTAGTAGAATGGGTTCCAGCTCTATCTGATAAACCTTTACTTTTATTTAATTTTAACTAACTTAAATTGTAGAACTGAAGCAATGAAAATATTTTTCCATTAAACATAACTTGGGAAGGCCGGGCGCGGTGGCTCACGCCTGTAATCCTAGCACTTTGGGAGGCTGAGGCGGGCGGATTGCTCAAGGTCAGGAGTTCAAAACCAGCCTGAGCGAGACCCCGTCTCTACCAAAAATAGAAAGAAATTAATTGACCAACTAAAAATATATATACAAAAAAAAATTAGCCGGGCATGGTGGCACATGCCTGTAGTCCCAGCTACTCGGGAGGCTGAGGCAGTAGGATCGCTGAGCCCAGGAGATTGAGGTTGCTGTGAGCCAGGCTGACGCCACGGCACTCGCTCTAGCCTGGGGCAACAAAGTGAGACTCTGTCTCAAAAAAAAAACAAAAACAAAAAAACATAACTTGGGAAAATGTTTTTGAAATATTTGGGTTAAACTATTAATATTAAAATTTCACCTGTTTCTTTTTTTTTTTTTTATTTTTGTGAGCAGTGGAAGATAACACCTGTTTCTTTATGGAAAATTTAAAATTGCGTATGTGGCTTGCATTACATTTCTATTGGATAGCACTGCTCTAGATTATCACTACCTAGTAGTGGCCTGATACGCCTACAGCCTGGGAGCTCCCTGAGGGTAAGGACCCCAGGCTGTCTGGATTTCACCTGTGTCCCTAAATTACTCAGCCTGGTATGGAGTAGGTGCTTCATACCTTTTTGACGAATGAGTGGGCAAATGAATCACCCTCTGCCCCCTCCCAGGAAGAAGAAATATATGCTTTCCAGCTTCAAGTTTTACTGAACGTCTTCCTGGAAGGCAAGCAGAGGTGGGAAGAATATTGACTAGGGTTTCTTGACCGGAGGACCTGCAATTCCCGTCAATGCCCTCAGTAGCCCTTATGAAGTGGCAATATACGTTTAAAAAAGTAGGGGGCAGCCGGGCGTGGTGGCTCACTCCTGTAATCCTAGCACTCTGGGAGGCTGAGGGTGGCAGATTGCTCGAGGTCAGGAGTTCGAAACCACCCTGAGCAAGACCCGGTCTCTACTAAAAAATAGAAAGAAATTAATTGACCAACTAAAATATATATATACAAAAAATTGGCCGGGCATGGTGGCGCATGCCTGTAGTCCCAGCTACTTGGGAGGCTGAGGCAGGAGTTTGAGGTTGCTGTGAGCTAGGCTGAGGCCACGGCACTCACTCTAGCCTAGGCAACAAAGTGAGACTCTGTCTCAAAACAACAACAACAACAACAACAACAAAAAGTAGGGGGCGGGTCAGAGCCCTGATTATGTCAGCAGGTGGACACAATGTCCCAGGCTGTAGGTACTCAACCCTAGTTATCCTCAGAATGTGCGATTAAAGAGAGAATGGAAGATAACAAGGTCTCCGGGGCAGCCCGCAGCGTCGCAGTCCTGAGGCTCCCGTCGAAGGCAGAGCTGTGGAGCAGCCTAGGTCGTGGGGAGACGACCGGACCCGCGTCCCCTCACACTCGGGCGTCCCGGCCCTCCACGTGCGCGGGAGGGAGGGCGTATCCGCCTTTTTGAGGCAGAGGCCGCGCCCGTTACCTGCTACGGGACTCCCGACGGGGACGGCGTGGGTGACGGCACTCGGAAGCTCGGGTGGGGATTAACAGACCAAACCGGAGCGAGAGCCTGAGAAGCTGCCTTGCGGATGCTGCGGGAGGACTCGGCCAATGGAGCGGTTAGCGCCCCCGGCCCGCGCCGGTCACACCGACAGAGGGAGGCGTGAGCGCGCGTGCGCACTGGCGCGCGCCCGGCTCGAGAGCCCCCGTGCGCGCGCGTTCTAAATAAATTAAAAAATAAGCCTTCCCCGCGGGGGCTCGCGACAATTTAGGCCGGAGTCGGCTGGCGAGCGCGCGTGCGCGAGCGCGCATCGACGCCCTCCTCCACCGCCCCCTCTGTTGGGGGTCTAGCGCACGGCTCCGCTTCCCCAGCCTTTGCGGAGGCTCGCGTCCTCGGGCTGAGGGACTCGCGCCTCGCGGAGAATGAGGGCGAGGCTCTGCTGAATGAAGGGACGCGGCGGACAGGGCTACGAGAAACTGTCCTAGCTGGGTGAGGAGCGCGGGCTGGAGTACGCAGAAGACACGCCTCCATCCCTCACGCCCCCCGGGGCTGCGGAAGTGCTCTGGAGACTGGAGCTGCAGGGAGGCGACAAGTGGACTACAGTCCCCAGCAGGCGGCGCGGTGGCGCGCCTACGGCTCCCGGCAGCACCTGCGCGCCAGGCTCTTTTCAGTTCGCTGCCGCCGAGGGCGAAACTACAGTTCCCAGGAGGCCTCGCGCGAAGCGGCTTGGAAGTGGGCAGCCTGGAAGTCACTCGGGCCACCGGAGCTGGCGGCGTCTCCAGCGAGCGGCGCGGGGCCGAACGCAGCGGTCGTGGGGCCCGCGAGGTGGGCAGTCGGGACTGCTAGGTATGTGGCTGTGGGTGCAGGGGCGGCCTCGCGCAAGGGTGGCGGGGAATCTGTGGCTGCTCGGAGCCGGAGGGTCAGCGCGGGCGGGCGGGCGGGCGGGCGACCGGGCGGGCGGCCGGGTGTGGGCACCGACCGTAGGGGGCGGCGGCGCCGGGACTCGCGCCCCGCGGACCCAGCTGGATTCGTGCCCGCATGGTTCAACTTTCCAGACGTGCAACCTGGCTCTGTGGGGAAGAGCCCGGAGTCCGGGAGCGGTGCGTTCGCGTCCCGGCTCTGCCACTCGGGAGCTGCGATCTGGGGAAACCTCGCCGAACCTCAGTTGCTCCTGCAGTAAAACGGGGTAGGAGAGTGTCTTTTGCTGGGGATTCGGTTGAGGTAAGCGGATAAAACATTTGGCACACAGAAGACAGTATGTGTTTGCGTTATTGTTAGCTCCGGGAAAAACGAGGTGAAGATAGTATCGATCGCATAGGATGACGGTTCGTTGAGTGAGTGCGTGTAAAGAGCCGAGACCGTAGTTAGTACCCCACGAAGGCTAGCTGCTGTTAACTGAGATTATTTTATTGGGACCTTTTGGTTTGTGGAAGGCAGCGAGACCCAGGTTCAAATTTAGGATCTGCCATTTTTGCCAGCTGTGTGACTTCGGGTAATGATTTCACTTCTCTGTGCCTTGGTTTCCGTATCTATAAAATGGGGATTTAAATAGCCGCCGCTTTGTAGAGCTGTTTTGAGGATGCAGTGAGAATATCATGTGTAAAGTGCTTAGCACAGCAGCTGGCACATAGCGCTTAGTAAATTATACCATTTATTCAGCGTTTTCCCAGTGGCCTGGAGACCCTCTCAGGGAGGGGCTCTGGCTGTAGTCTTGGTCAGACTCAAAACTGGTTTAGTTGACTTCCCTTCCTACAGCCTCAGGTTCCTCATTTATAAAATGAGACAATCACAGTATCACTCTCAAAGGATTGTAAGGATTTGCTGAGATTGTATTCCTAGTTGAGAGCTGTCTCTTACTAAGTAGCAGCTTTTATGTATTATAATTGTTCTTCAGTATTCTCCATCTGGCCCAGAGGCTGCCTAACTGTGGGCTGTGTGACATGACAGCCCTGAGCTCCCCCACAAGTGTGCTCCCAGCCTCAGTGTCCCATCTGTGAAATGGTAGTCATAGGACTTTTGTGCCAGGATTGTTTTGATGTTTCCAGGAGATAATTCCTATTTAGTATTTAGGACAGAGCCCGGCATGTAGTAAGTGCTTAATAAATGTATCTTGCTGTTGTGTGGTTTTTTTTTTTTTTTTAAATAGGCCCTTTCTGCTTCAGCTTGTGTCTATAAGGCAGAGTGGGGACGAGATTAGTGTTTCTCCCCCTACTCCCAAGTTTTACTCACTAAAGGTTAAATTGGGGAACATGCTGCAGTGTAGGGGCATAAGAAGAGCTGGGGCTGACCCGGCATCAGCAGCCCCCTGCACACACACCCCTCCCCCACAAGCCGGTATATTCACTCCAGTGCTTTAATTACGGTCCGAGTGATGCCAGCTCTTGACTGTGTATCTCAAAGCTACACTAAACCCCTGAGTTCCAGCTCCAAATGTGGAGCCTGTGCTTTCTTGATGTCTCCTGATGGCTGCTCTCTTGGGCACCATAAACTCAACATGTCCAACCCGAACTCTTCTTCCTCCCAGACCCAGTAGTCACCATCTTGGCAAATGGACCAACACTGACCTGGTTGCCCAAGCCAAAAACTTGGGAATTCTCCTCCTTTCCCAGCCTTCCCATGTCTAGTCGGCAAGAAGGATGGAGCTGCGATTTCATAGAAATGCCATTTCATTGGCCCACATTGGTCTCTCATCTGATGGGCACTGAAAATTCCCCTGAGCTCCTGGAAGTGGCCTATTCTGAAGAGGTTGTATCTTTGAAGTCATCAAGGATTAACATATGTAAACATATGTAACATGTATTACCAAGGGGCAGAGAAGACATTATGGCCGTGGCTAGACTGCAGTGGTTGTGTATGTGACATGAAACTGGTTTTCAGGGGACCCATTTCTATGGTTTTAGCCTGGCAAAGATCGGCTGAGTTGTAAATTTCTGTCTGAAAAGTTGTACTGTGTCAGCAGGTTAGAATATCCTGTATGGGAAGTGGCCGTCCTGGGCTTTTCAGGAGGCAGCACATATACCCCACACCTGGGAAGAGCCTGGGAAGGACATTTATTAGGTCCTCCTTTGGGTTGAGTCTTTTGTCACAAACCTGTCACTGTGATTGCATTTGGTGATGGAAACCCATGGTCTCATTCACATTTGTGATGGCCGACAAGTTTACCTAAGTGTTTTGTTAGTCTGAGGAAATAAAGCGGTGACTTTAAAAAAATCTTAGTTGTTCTCAGTTACTAGTGACAATAGCACATGGCTTTTTAGTAGTCTGTGTAGAATGATTAAGAGTTAGATGTGAGTCTGTTTTTCAGACATTGCAGTTGTTAAGTGGTAAATCAAAAGTGGGATTTGGAATGTGCAGTGATTGGCACCCAGGTGTTTTGGGGTTTTTGCTGTAAACCATATTTTGCTATATATTTCAAACTTAGGCTTGGTAACTTACAGAATCTAAAAGTATTCATGTTTTAATAAGAAAATTCAACAGTTGTTTCCTTTAGTGTTTGTTTTTAGCTGTTAGAAGGAGAGGCTATTGGACAAATTTGTGCATTTGTGTTTTCTTTACGACTGATGCTCCTCCCATTTTTTAGGACTGTTCTTGTGGCCTTTTTTTCTGTGTGTGATTGGACTGAATTTGGCTTTAAAAAAGTTTTACACATGAAATACATACTCATTGTAACATGTCAACAATACAGAGAGAGAGAAGGAAAATATTAGTGCTGCCCTCCACTCCAAAATCCCATGCCCCGAGAAATAACCATTTATTCAGACAGCTGGTGTCTATTAACACACTGACTGCCACAGTAGAAAAAAAATTTTTTCCTTGAGGCCACAGTGTTTTATTACGAAAATAGAATAAAAACTTTGAAACCAAAACGATCCTTTCTAATTTCGTGAAAAATGTTTTTTTTTAATTTTCTGTGCATGAATTATATGCAGTTAAATTGTTAATATTAGTTGTAACAATAAGAACATCAACAAGTAAGATTTTCACAAAGCAACTGCAGGCTTTTGCCCAGGGGACCACCCATCGCATAACATGTGTGCTACAGCATGGCAGCATGAGTAGCCTGCGTACCATGCGGCTCCCAAGGTAAAGAGACGTGTGAGTTACATATGCTTCATGAGGCCCCAGGTTCAAAACTAACGTGAGTTAAATACAACTCACATGGCAGTTAATGTGTTAAGTATCAATTCTCAGATTTGGGAGATGTCATAGTGAACAGAGTGGATGTACTCTCTGCCCTTGGCGATTTGAGTGGATGCTCTCATTTAATTTTTTTCTGTGTTAATATTGATTACATATGTGTGTGTACATATATACATATATCAATTGTTTTCTTCCTCCTCTCCTGCCACTCCCCAAAAAAAGGAGGGGTAGTGATCAGGCTACACATGTGTAATTTGTTTTATTCAGTAAATGATTGGGTATGTTTCTTTAAGTCGTTACATATAGATCTGACTCATTCTTTTAAATAGTCAGACCCACATTCTTCGGTACAGAGAGACCATCTTTATTCCACCATTCCCCTACAGCTGGACATTTAGGTTGTTTCTAAGATTTTTTTTTTAATCTCAGCAAACACATCTAATAAGCATCCTTTCCCATAGGCAGTATGGGATAGTGGCTAAAAACACACTGTGGAGCCATGTGCCCTGGGTGCAAAATCTGTTTCTGTCCTATACTAGTTGTGACACCTTAGGTAAGTCACTTGTCCTTCTGGGCCTTAGTTTCCTGATCTGAAAGTGGGGGGGGGGGTGATACCAGTACCTTCCTCAGATGGCAGTTGTTGAGAGAGGGTTCTGTGAGATCATCTATGTCAATCTTTTAGGGCAGGGCCAGCTATCATGTGATCTTTCAAACCCAAAGTAATTCAAAGCCCTTTGGGTCAGGGCTCACAAGAAGAGTCAGCTCAACAAGAAGAGTCAGCTCAATCGCTGGAAATGCTAAGTTGTATAGCAGGGATCTCGCTTGGAGATGTTGGGAGTCTAGGGTGAGGGACCCAGCTGCCATGGAATGAAGGGAGGAGATTTGGCCAGAAAAGGATGATGGGAGCCAACAAGGTGGCCTGACTGCAGTGAGCAGTGGTGGTTAAGGGGCTGGTGGTGGTGCATCAGTGGAAAATATCACACCTCATATTTGCAAGAAGCATGTAATGGTTGGAAGGTGGC